GCCTCTGTTAATTTGGTCTCTTAGTTTTGTTCATTTTCTCTCTTTAATTTATGGATCTCAATTGAGCCTATTTTTCTTCCCTATTTTTTTTTTTTACCTTTCATTGTCTACTTTAATTTGTATATATATTTTTATTATAATACATTGAAATTAGGATTCCTTGAGGCAGAGCCTTTTTCACTTTATTCTTTGTAGCATTTGTATTAGAAGGCAAAAAGGAAAACACTCAATCCCAAGCCTTTTCTTTTAATTATTTAGTCCATTCAGTAAATATTTATTGAATATGTACTATGTGTCAGGTTGCTCAGAACACAGCATTATGGTTCTAGTTTAGTTGAGAAGATAGACATTAAATAAATAACTTCATAAATACTTAAAATATTAATTGGTATGAATAATTGTTGGTTCTTAAGGCACAGTTTGTAGTCAGCTCTTACAGTATCATAGTCCAAGAAAAATCATACATAAGAAGGAAGTACAACAACAAAAGAATATATGTCAGCATAGTTTTAAGTGTCACTGTGGATGTTCCTTTCTACTCAATTGAGGGCTGTAGTTCTGAACTTTAAAACGTGCCTTTTATTTATTTTATTTTATTTTTTAATGTTTATTTATTTTTGAGAGAGGAGGGAGAGAGTAAGAGACAGAAAGGGGCAGAGAGATAGGGGGACCCAGAAGCAGGCTCCAGGCTCTGAGCTGTCAGCACAGAGCCTGATGCAGGGTGAACTCATGAGCTGTGAGATCATGACCTGAGCTGAGGACAGATGCTCAACCGATTGAGCCACCCAGGCACCCCTCAATAGTGCATTTTAGATGGAATCCTTATTAAGGTAGAATCAATTTATAATTGAGCTTTGCTTGACTGAAAGACATATTTGGAGGCAGTGAGTTATAGGTTGAAATAATATACATTATTTCACATCTCTTTTTGTTTTAACTCCTTATTTCTTGCTTCCTGTAGTCTTCAAATTCCTTGTCTTTTCTCTTTCATCTTTGCCAGTTTTGATCTACTTCTATCTTTCTGTGATGTCTGTCTTGGCTTATATTCTGCCACTTCTGCTTTCCCCTGCCCTGAATCTTCAGTGTTTTTTTCTTTTTCACTTTTATCCAAAACTAGGAAAAAAGTAAAAAGGATTCAAGTTAAAATGACTAAAATTTACATACTAATATAGACATGTTTGTGTATGTATATTCCAACTTTTGAGATCATGATATTGTGTTCAGTCTCTTCAGGGTATTTTTTTTTTAACATATTAAGGTGGCCCTGTGTAAAAATGAGAGAGAATAAAAACAAATTCCGAGGTTTTTGATTAGCTGATCACTAGTTCTTTTTATCATTTGAGGTTAAAGTTGAGCTGCTTCCCACTGAACAAGGTGAATGACTATAGGTTCAGAAGACATGATATTGACTGATCTAGGGATAAATCAAGAAATGTGACATTTCATGTAGGGGTCTTTTTACTTAGAGTGCAAGGGTGTCAGTCAGAATATGCACTGTATAGGAAATCAATTGAAACTTGAGCCCATGGACATTTACTTCAGCAAAATTCTTACTAATTATCATGACTATGTCTAGTTAGACTGTTGTAAGCATAATTTAGTTTCCAAAAGGTTGAGATTCTTTTGTATAATTGTAAATCTCCTGTTAATGATAAATAATTTATAGTTTGTTAGCTGTATTTTATATAAAATCAACTATTACTTTAAGTCTTTATTAAACCAGTAAAGCTTTATGTTATATATACTGCTAGTAAACATTAAACCTCTGACAAGTAATTTTATATAGAAAATAGAAAGCCTGGTTTACCTGTTTCAAATGGTCTTCTTTTTTCTAAAAGGTAATTTTAGTAGTTTTCTAAAAGGTAGTCTAATATTTATGTTTTCTTAAGTAATACAGTAAGTGATATGAGACTGAATTTTATTTTCTGAAATCCATTCTTTTTGGTGGTTAGTTTTCAAATGGATATTGAATGATCCAGCTGAGAAAAATATGTCATAGTTGGCACACTTTTAACATCAAAGGTCTGGTCTCATTTTTCAGTGCTCTACATCAGGGATGAGCAAAGTAAGGACCTATGGTGCACATCCATCCTTTCAGTTGGTTTTGTAAATAAAGTTTTATTGGAGCACAGCCACACCTGTTCACTTACATATTATCTTTGGATGCTTTGTCTACATAGGTAGCATTTAGTAGCTGCAGCACAGAACATGCAGCAAAATCTAAAATACCATATGACTCTTTACAGAAAGTTTGCAGATCTCTGCTGTAAGTAATCTAGTTGAGATTAAATTTTGATGTAGTTAATCTTTGATATCTGTGACAAGTACTTCCTGAAACTTTTAAAGAAATACAAACAGAGAAATATAAATATTAGCCTTTTCACTTTCCAGCCTCATGTTTATATTGAAAGTTACTTGTCTGTATGTAATTTTTCAAATCACAAATTAACCCTTTGCTCATTTTTGTTAAAGTTTTAGTTTTCTCTCTTAGTGGTCTCTTTAGTGACTGTTTATCACTGTACTTACAAAGGATAATCATAGAGCAAAATTGAGGATAATTAAAGGATAATAATAAAGCAAAATTGAGATCCAAATAAATGCTAAGTGGTTGACTAAGCCTCATGCCCTGCGTGTCAGACCTGGCGCACTTAAACCAAAACATGATTCAGATGCGCTCATCAGCAAAATGATAAATTACTATACATTATGTACTTCTAAGGGCAGTCACACACATTACTTATAGTTGTAATGCTAAATAAATGTGGAAAGGACTTGGTATAGCCTTTGATCAGAAAATTTTATTTTTTAAAAATTTTAATTAACAAGGAAATTTAATATTCGACTAAATACAACTATCTTAACCGTATCCTCTAGAAAGATGTTAATTTAAAACATTCAGACTCTTCATTTGTCTCTCTTTAAAGTAATAATTTTCAGTGCCTGAAAAAAAAGCTTACAGGTATCACATAGACATTCCATACACTTTGTTGTGTTAATTATTTTGAACATACAAGTTAGGTAACCTGCCTACACTGTTGTTTTCTTCCTAATCATATGTAGTTCTTTGGAACAAAAGAAGGGTATTTATAACCTTGGGATCTAAATTTTGTTTTTTTGCAAGAGCTTCCAGTAATCTAGTAATATAAATGTTTAATTTTCATGTATCTTTTCACATTTTTTTTTTCAACGTTTATTTATTTTTTGGGACAGAGAGAGACAGAGCATGAATGGGGGAGGGGCAGAGAGAGAGGGAGACACAGAATCAGAAACAGGGTCCAGGCTCCGAGCCATCAGCCCAGAGCCTGACGCGGGGCTCGAACTCACGGACCGTGAGATCGTGACCTGGCTGAAGTCGGACGCTTAACCGACTGCGCCACCCAGGCGCCCCTCTTTTCACATTTTAAATTATTGAGTTTAATAAATTAATTAGGAAATTTATAAAGATTTAAGTTGAATCTTCTTTGAAAACTGCTATAAGTAGCACTTTGCCTGATTTCATCTAAAAAAAACAATATTAAGGTAAATATTTCTCACTACATATGGTTTCCTTAAAAATGATACTTAGCCAACCAATAACTGATGGTTAAATGCCTTTCTGATACTTTAATATGATCATAAAAAAGTGTAAGAATTTTGTTACCTTACACTTTTTACTATGTTCTTTAATTGAGTAAAAAAGAAATTATTGTCTTCAGAGTTTATGTAGAACCAGCTTTTATGAAGCAGGATATTTGAAAACTGTTGAGTTATTTTGGGAGAAAAAAAATAAAAGGTGAAAGTATTTGTCTTTACTGAAATGTGAATCCAAGTGGACATGACTACTTTGAGACCCATTAACTGTATATAATTCAAAATTACTATACCATACCATCCTTTTAAATTATACTATTTAAATGTGTGTAGAAACAGTTTTTTGATATATGTTTATTTTTTTCCTGTAAAAAATACAATGTTCTAAATATCTCTCCATGAGTGTAGCAGTTTCATTGAACTCTGAAGTTTGGGACAATTTTGTAATAAATTTGTTAAGTTCTGTATTATCTTTTCCAAGTATGCTTTTTTTGGTGGTAAATGTTAAATCATAGGAGCCCAGAAATAGGGGAGGGAGGATATGAGAAAACAGGAACTTCTATATCTAAACTTTTTAATACAATTTTAAAATAATTGAGCCATTTCTAAAATCTACATCATTTTACTAATACTTATTACCAATTTTCGTTAATTTACCCAATTTAATGGTTGCCTAAATTATATTATAGACATTTTCTAAAACATGTCATTTAGAGCTCTTTCTTTGCCTTTCCTGCATTTGTTCAGTTTATTAACATCAAAAAACATTTCAGGAAGCACTGTGACTCTTCTAATACAAAACACATTTATGAGAGGAACCCATTTACTTTCTTAGTCTTTAAATTCAGTAATTCTATATATGTAATGAAAAAGAGAAAATAACATTAGTCATCTAAAACTGTGGTCCAGTTTTGGTCAGCCTTTCTATATATTTGTTTCAACAAATAGGTAGCACAAGAGATTTTCAGGTCAAATTTAGTGGCAATTATTTGTCTTTGCTTTTTTGGGAACATAGTTAAACTTTGTAATAAAAATACTTGCCTTGCTTTATTTGTGAAGAAGTCCAAAAAACAGAGGAAATACAATTTTTGGTAAGAATTGAAAGTCCAGGAATAAATATAATGATGAGAAGTAGTGCTTCTATCACTAGGGAACTTTCCTCATCTAAGCACATATGAACAATTGATCCTTGTAGTCATATATAGCAGTAAACATTAATAACTTAACAGTCTGAAGTCAGCGCAGAAGATATGGAGCATTATTGAAAGATGGAGTCGAGCAGGTGGCACTTTAATATGTTCAGTGTCATGGTTGACTCTAAAGACTAGTCGAATGAAATTACTTGAGGTTCTAAAGATTTAAAAAGCGAACTCATTTTGCTGCACTAAGGAAATGCTACTGATCAGGCTTTCTGTGTCCCTTTTTTCTAGGCTAGAAAATATTAACCCTGAAGAAAATGACATGGTAAGCCATTCTCTGAGGAGATTTCTTGATGTCAGTCTTATATCTTAGAGGCTTAAGTTCAATTGAGTGGGTTTCAAGAACTAAGATGTGGGAAAAAGAAGAATTGACACACTAATAATGTACATCTTTGCTGCAATATGAAAATTCAATAACTTCACTCAGTCAATTTACAATTCACATGTGCCTATTAATTAAAACCCTATATTAAATAAAATATATTAAAACTTCATGTCTGACTAACATATAATGGTGTTGGTAGACATTACAGGAATTACTGAACAGAATAAACAATGCAGACACAGGGATAGCTATTCAGAAGAATGGAGCTGTAATTGTGGATAGAATCTACAAGACCAAGGAATGTAAAAAGAGAATAACAGCAGAAGAAATGAATGCAGTGATAGAAGAACGGGATGCTGCTTTGTCTCAGGTAACTGCATATATCTGTAAAAGCATTTTCCCCTCCCTCTTTACCATTAAAAAGCAACATTTCCCCACATATTCTTAATTCAAATTATTTTTTAGCACATAATTAGTACCGTGATGATTAGATATGTTAAAATAGTCACAAATTTTGTTCCACCATTCTCCGAGTACATGCATCCACGTTTCTTAATAAGATTGCCACAAAATTTTAGTTATATTCCAAAAAAAAAAAGAATTTAGTTACATTCTTTAATGTAATCACTTTTATATGAGACTTCTTACTTGAGTCGCAGTTTTGTGAGGGCTGAGATTATGTCTTTATTACTGTTTTATTCCCAGTGCCTAATTCAGTGCCTTTTAGTAAACATTGATAAATGAATCAAATTATTAGTGTATTCTTTTCTGAACATGACTTATACCTTCCTGCTCTAACGAAACCTGATTACCTCCCTGAGGATACTGCTTCTACTGCAGTCCTCTCCAGTAGTGATTGTATTCCCTCCCACAGCAGTTATACCAGTGTGCTTGGAGGCTTGTTCCCCATTAGTGTTCACTGTTCCTTTTTCATCTCTAAACACCTCTAGCTTTGAAACTCATGCATCAGATTGTACCACCCAGTAGGCACTCCTGTTGCAGTAATTTACACATGCCTGTGTTGCTTCCCTCATTTCTTGAATGTCTTAGGATCTATTTCAATGTCTTTTCTTCAGCCCACTCCTGTCTTAATTCTTGGTGATTGAAATGTCTTTGCACATGATCCTTTCGCTGTTCTGGCCTCTCATCTTCTTGGATTTGTCTCCTCTCTTCATCATGTATTCTGCTCTATTTCTGTCATACTGACCACCACTTACTACCTGTCCAGCTCCCTTACTCTACAACCCTGACTCTAGCAGATTTTCAGCTCCACTGGCACCTGTTTCTGTTGACTTGACCACTTATTCTCCTGTCCTTCAAGCCTCTCATGTTCCCACTTCCCAGTTCATCTAGCTTAAATTCCACAGCTCACCTAATTATCACCAATTTGCTTATAAGATAACCCCAGTTCCTTTGGTTCATTGTCCTCACCAAACAAAGCCTAAGCCTTAAAAAATTTAACTTTCTCCCTGTTCTACACTGTCATAGTTTTATATGGCAGGAGAATGTCACACAGATTTGCCTTAATCCTTAAATTCATAACCTTTGTCTTTAAGTAGGCCCTTGGTGTTGCCTCGCATTTTTCTTGCCTTTTGTTGGTCCATTCACTCTCCACTGTAAAGGACTTTTTTATCTCCTTTCTTTCTCCTCAGATATCCAACCTCACCTTTCCAATATAAAAAGGAACTTCTGCTTGTCTCCACCATTTCATCCACCAGCCTACCTGCATTTGTTCCCATATACTCTGCCTTTTATTTCTTAGTACCTACCCCTGTTTCAGGATAACCTATTTCTATACTAGTTCTCATCTTTTCTTGCTTGCTTAAGGTTATCACTTAATCAATTGGCCCTTTTGTCTCCTACTTCATAAAATGTTTCCTATCAATTAATTTCTATCATTATCTAAAATGTTTTACTATCTTCCATGGAGGCTAGGTGGAAGTTTTGATAAGTCTTGATCTACTTGTGGTTCAGCTCTGTGCTTTTGGTGAGGTTTCCGAAACAGAGCCGAGTATTCAGTGGACCCTACTCTTGGTAAATCACATATTCTAGTATTTATCTCTTCACATTGTGAGACTGTGGAAAACTCCATTATGGTTTTCAGAGGTTTTAGAGCCTTAACTTTTTAATTTCAAGCCCTGTACAGGTTTGGGATTTATCAAATGATTTAAGGTAGAAACAAGTCTCAAATCTCCAATTTTGTCACTTCTGCCCTACATAACTACCAAAAGCTTAGATGAATTCTCTGTCCTCCAACAGAAGCCCTCTTTGTAATCAGAGCCTGACTTCCCAGCCCCTTGCCCAGGTCTGGAATCTTTAAAATTCAGGGCAAAAAATGACTGCAGATCTTCAAATCGCCCTTTTTCAAAATCTTAGCCAGTCAACTCATTGTTGTAGCAGCAGCCTTCTCATGTCTTTAAGCTGGGTTTTTAAATTTAATCTGGCTTTTCCTGTTTGGGGCTGGCACATTGTTCAGTCACAAAGGATTTCATTCTATGTAGATGTAGAGACCTGACATTTATCTTCACATTAGATTTGGAAAAAGTCCTTAAATTTTTTAAATGAGCAACTGTTTTTACCATTTTGTGTCCTACCAACTGTATGCAATCTTGAATCATTCAAGATTGTTGAGAGAAGCCAAAACTGTTTATAGTGCTTAGAAACAATTATAGCGTGAATTCAAACATTTGATTTATTTTTTATCATTTATTTTCTTAACTAAAAACATACACATAGAGCATAATTAAATGTGGACTGCCAACCATTCCTTCATGATACATAAAGATAAATCAACCTTTGGCAATATTTACCAATATGTTCTTTATTTATAAATATATATTATCCATCATTGCAATATGTTTATTATTTGTCTACTGCATGTATTTATTACGTTTTATGAAGAACGACTTGTTTTTTTTTTAATTCTTTTAATTTGCATAGT